CACACACACACACATATATATATATATTTTATATATATCATACATATATTTTATATATATAGAGAGAGAGAGAGAGAGATGTAAACCCTGTAATTTACAATATCACATATAGCAGGTATTTCCTCGGGCTCTGCTGTTCTGGAGATAGCAATAAGTAATATTCTCAGGCTTAAAGCCCCAACTAGTCAAATATTTGGGGGACTCAAGAACAGCCAAGAGTTTAACAACTCTTCTTGATCCACAGATCCCACATCCTGCCCCCTGGACTTGGCCCTTCCCTTTCTGCCAGTGTCCTAGATAGCAAGGCTGCAGTCTTCACTCAGGGCCACTGTGTCACCAGCCTGGAGACACACTGGTTTATTGTGCCAAGGAAAGACCGATGGTGCCTGATATCATTTCAGATCAGGAGTGAAGCCTTCATGTTCAATCATGATGTCACAGGTCACAGCCACCCCAGCAGGCAGCTCCCGTCCCCAGTCAAAGCTGCATGAATCTGCAGCACCAGGTTCTCACTGTGCTGCCGCGTGGGGTTCTGGAGTAAAATCTTTGCTAAGAGTCCCTCCACCGCCTCTCGAACCAGCAAACCCGCATGTTTCCTTCTTCCCATCCCCAGTAACAAAGAAGAGCCAAGGGGCCTTTCTGTCTAGATTCGAGGGCTGTCAGGTCCCAGGCCTTGTGTCTCTTTTGCTCAGCTTCATCGGTCAGTAGCTGGGCCCTCCACTGGCACGTGACCCTCTTTAGCCCTCTCTCGCCAATGTCTGAGGTCTCCTTGGACCCATTTTCCTGAGAGAATGACTAATATCTTCCTTTGGAGAACTTGCTGCATATCTTCTGCCCACTTCTTTGACTCTCCTCTCCTCCTCGCATCCTCTCCCCTGGGGAAATGTGGCAGAGATGTATAGAACTAGCAATGAGGGAGCCAACACCTGTGTCCAAGCAAGAGGGAGAACCGAAGAGGCCATGTCCAACTTGGTTCTTTAAAGGTGAGAGTCTGCCATCTTACACAGAAAGAACAGTTTAGCATGTTCATTAAACTCTAAGTAGTTCAGTGGTCCTGACATGCAAATTATTATAAGACTGGAAACACCAAGAGATGAGATGAGCCTATAGAAATGGGGACAGGCACCAACCCCCAGAGGACACACATATTTTGTCAGTTAGCTATGCAAGGTTTACCAATTGTCAGGCACTGCTACAAGAGTTCGCCTGCATTAATTCATAACCCCATGAGACAGGCACTGTTATTATTCTCATTTTACAGATGAAACTGGAAACTGGAAACTGGAAGGGTCAAGTTATCATCTAGAATCCCACAGCTTGTCAGTGGCAGATCTGGGACTCAGATCCAGATTTTTTGGACTCTAAAGCTTGTACTCAAAGTTTATTGACTGTGCTCTTGAGAATGATTGCTGTAGAAAACAGGAACCCACTGGAAGATACAGAATAAGAGGAATGGTACAATAAAAATGAAACCATGGAAAGAAAAATGTATATACAGGAGGCTAGAAAGAAGCAAGAAGACCAGAAAGAGAGAAATGTCAATGAATTTGAACTTTATTGTTTAGGTAATAAAAAAATACACATACAATGGATTGATTTTAAAATATCTAATTAAATTTTCTTAAGATTTTCAAAATAGTTTTATCTAAACAGTATTGTTCAATTTTTTTCTTTCCAGTTTTTCTAGCTGGAGATGTTTATCTTGACTGTTTCTTGAGAGAGCTGTTCCTATGCCTTTTTTTTTTTTTCATCTCATTGGTGTCATACTCTTCAATTTCGGCAGTGGAGATTGAGGTCAGAGAGTAGGAAATTACAGCTTCATGTAGAGAATCAGTTGTGCAAGATCTGAGGGTCTGGGTTGTACACAGACATGCCTATTAAGGAGCCCAGGAGAGAACAGTATAGCACACGTTCAACCTGAATTGTTTTCACATATTTTGATAATTTGTTTTGTTTTGTTTCCTGAGAAGAAATAGAAATCTTGTAGAACAAAGCCACAAAATTGGTATCGATAGTCTACTCAACCTTTAAGAGTGAAACATTTGCTGATTTTTTTCGAGGGTAGGGAAGCGGGATGGGGAGGCAGGGAAGAGTAAGCAGCTTTAAATTCAGAAATAAGATAAGTTATTTATGATTTCTTGTGCTATTGTGATCTTTTTTTGTTTTGTTTTCCTCTTTCCCGAGTAGGACAAAGGATATTCTGATCTCTTTTGGTTTTGTGTGCAGTGAACTGTTTGAGTATAAGGCTCCTTCTCTATTCTTTAACACATTCAAGTAGCCTTGTAATTACCCAGATATAGCCAGAGTAATAGCTTTTCCTGGCATGATAGCTGGCGTTGCATCTTCGGCGACAGGGACCCCTACCCCGGGTGTCACGTTCTGGCCCTCCTCCAGCTGCACTCTCATTCTACTCAGTGTGCCCTTTGCATTGACTGTTTTGGGAATCCAGAGCCCTGGAATCCATGCCTAAACTGCCTCAAGTCCATTTAGGACCCACGTGAGCCTTGCAGCCCTAGGGCAAAGTGATGAAAAGGGGCAGGTATTTGTGTGAGCTCTGTTTGAAGCTTGGATATGCACACTGGGGTATCCATCAGCTAGGGGTAGGAGAACGCAGCAGATGGGCAGCAGGCTAGGGAGCCAACTCTCTCTGTGCTGCTACATTTGGGCACAGCACCCCGTGGACTCGAATACTTCTACCTTTGAACTTGCACTTCAGGCTATTTGGAAGGTATGCCTGTCAAGGGAAGAGGATAGAATATTTTATCATCTTATTACCTTGATTTTTAACTTAATATTTACACTTAACATTTAACTTAATATTTGGCATGAGGGTCTCCATTTACACTCTTCACTCCAGCCCTATCCAATTCTCTCACCAATTCTCTCACCTTGGAATGTAAGACTGGGGTTGGTTTCCGCTGGCCCTTTGAACTGAGAGCATCCAAACTTAGCACCTGAGTTCCATCATTCAAAGACTACCAATTAAAGGCTATGAACTTTTGGAATGAGAATTTTAGAGGTTCCCTGGTTCCTGTTCTGCCCAGATTTGGTTGCTCAACTTTTCCTTAAATGCTACAGAATACCTCCTCATCCTTCTTATAAAGGTCCTTTCCGAAAATTTTAAACCCTTACTATGTGCTAAATACTACATCGGTGATTAAAGTCATTCAAACCTCCCACCCTGATCGCAGGTATGATATTCTTCAGAGAAACCTGAGGCTCAGAGAAGTGATCTTCCCAAACTTATGCTGCCATGTGATTCAAACTTGGGTCTTCTGAATCCCAGGTCTTTCCATTATGCTCTACTGCCTCCATAAATAATAAAATCAGACCACCTGGACTTGGTTTTACTGACCCTGAACTAGATTTGAAATTACCAAGCCTCTATAACTGCTTTCTTCCTGGATTATTAAAACACTGACAAAGCCATGAAATGATTCCACAGTAGCAGGAAATGATATTTTAAAGGTTGCTATTTTTTCCAATTCATTTTTTGAAAATCGTCTTGGCTTATCACTCCCGAAAATTTCTAAGCAATAAAAGAAATGAAATGAAATGAAAAGAAAAGGCGATGTATCATAAAATGTGCTTTGCATCTTGATAACATAATGTGATCTATTTATTACTTATGATAAATGTGAAAATAAATTGTTTTGGTGGAATTCATGAATAGGACAGTTTGGGTAATGCGAAAATCTCGCTTCTAGCATTCAGCTGGTTGAATACCTTGTTGAAATGTAGAGTAGGACCTCAGGGCAGTTTTGCAAATATAATCAGGCTTGTAGTTTATTGAAGTATGGATTTGAAGTTTTCCAATGTATAATGTATTTTCAATAATAATCCAAGTGCCAGGAGACTGTCTAAAAGAGATTGGGAAATAATATTTTATTAGTGTGCATCAGAGGAGAAAGTTTTATCTAAGAACAGCCATTATAGTTTTAATCCATTCCATTTTCCTCCAAGATAAACTATATCCTGAATGACTCTAGCTAATTTTAACTGAAATAAGTAGGTTGGTATAGTCCTTTCCCACCTTAAATGGTGATCAGTTACACATATATTGCATCGCTTTGTTTCTTAATTAGCAATTTCTCCAGTTTGAGCGATGACTGGCAGCCATCATTTAATTGGAGAATCTCAGCATCCACTGATCACTTTTATAATCTGAATTTGAACTCTGTTATGTATCTGCTTCCATTCACTAGGGAGAATCCTGGCCCATTACAGTGCAAAAAGATAGCTTGATCAGTTACACATATATTGCATCGCTTTGTTTCTTAATTAGCAATTTCTCCAGTTTGAGCGATGACTGGCAGCCATCATTTAATTGGAGAATCTCAGCATCCACTGATCACTTTTATAATCTGAATTTGAACTCTGTTATGTATCTGCTTCCATTCACTAGAGAGAATCCTGGCCCATTACAGAGCAAAAAGATAGCCCGTATGTCTAAACCACAGGATGAGGGGCGAGGGGTATAAGAAAAGCTTGGAGAGGAAAGCGGGGGCCAACCGGAATAGGATTTCACAGGCCATGCGAAGAATTTGAGAGGATTTGTTTTTTTGTGAAAGGAAAAACACTAAAAAGTTTTAAGTAAGCGGGGGGTGGGGGTGGGGGGAGTGCAAGATACCATTGGATTTTTTAAAATTTTGTTTGCCTTCTTTGTGGAGAGCAAATCGAAGGAGAGCAAGACGGTCACAGAGAAACCAGTTAGGAGGCCGTGATAGTAGCTCAAAGAAGAGAAGGAGGAGGATGAGCAGTGGAGATGGGAGGAAGACTCGAGAGCTGTGGTAGCGGTAGAAGGTGCCAGATTCGATAACAGATTGGATGTCGGGTTGAGGGAGAAGGAACTTTCAAGACCCTGGTTTCAGCTCGCGGGGGCCGGGGATAGGGAGGTCTGGATTTGGGTGCCATTAAACAATGGAGAGGTGGATCTGAGGGAAAGATGAACTTCTCTGTTGCGTATGTGTCTGAGGTGTCCGGGAGACGTCCAGGAAGAGAGGATTAGCTAGACAGACAGTCAGATATGTGGGCAGGAACTAGGAAGACAGATTCGAGGTAGAGGTAAATTTTGAGACGTCGTCAACATGCAGAGGTATCAAAGTAATAGGATTGTGAAAGATTGCCTAAGAAAAGCATTGTGGAGTGAAAAGAGGATTAGGCCCTGAGAAATGACATTCAGAGGCAGGGACAACAGGAAGATCCATGGGAACAGCTGATTTCATAAGTTATACCTATGTTGCTATTCTTTTAACAAAAATGGATTACATACCTTATTAGAGGTTGGGCATGCCAAGATGCACTAGAACTCATGAGTCCCTGACCACAGGGAGATTGCACTGCGGCCATGGAGACAGCCATGGAAAGAAAGCATTACCATCCAGCGTGCATATGTAATGACAGATGTATTATACTTGCGTAATTAATAAGTACTGTAGCAAGTGTGATTGATATACAAGGTTCAATGGCGCCCTCACTCTGGGGTAGATAGGAAAAGAGATCAGAGCAGCCTTTACAGAAAAGCCCCTTAGCTGAGTGTTACAGGATGAGCAAGGAATCTTCAGACCAACAAGGTGGGGCAGAGTTTTCATTGAATAGGGAACGACAAAGACAAGGAGGGGTGAGTCAGCACACCACTCTCCAGAACAAAAAGGACACCGCTGTGGCGGAAGAGCCAGCCCGTGGGATGGGTGAGGAAGGCGGGAGAGGAGGCTGGTTCCCACATAACTCCATACGTGATCCGACGTTGTCAAAGGGGATTTCAAAACCTAGAGTAGCAACTGGCTGGACACAGGCACTCAGTGGATACTGAGTTCATGACTGAATACACAACCAGATTTGCATTTTGCAAAGATCCTTCTGGTGGCAGCAGAGAGAGTACCCTGGCGTGAGAAGGAAGTGAATATGGGGTCCACT